CAAGCGTGATAGGGTGATTTCTTTATTTTTGGCTGGAAAACCACAAGTGGCTATCGCTAGAGCACTCCAGCATTTAAATGTAAATAAATCTTTTGTGTCTGGTACATTCGCTCTTTACCGTGATGTTGGTAGCGTAGCCCGACGTCAAGGAAGTGGACGGAAGAAAACAGCAACATCAGCAGAAATGGTTCGAAAAGTAAAAAAGCGACTTGATTGAAACCCACGTCGCAAGTTGCCGAAAAATGCCTCGTGAGCTGAACATATCGCAATATTCCATTCTGCAAATATTGAAAAATGAGCTCGGGCTAAAGCCATTGAAATTCCAAAAAGTGCAAGAACTTACACTGCTACAGGAAATAGACTCAAAACAGCTAAAGAGTTGCTTGGTTTTGGCCGAAAGTGGTGAACTTCTGAATTTGGTTTTCTCCGATGAGAAAACATTCGTTGTCCAGCAGTTTGTAAACAAACAAAATGATCTTTTTTACTTGCCAAAGAGGTCGGTTAGCCACCAGAACTAAAGAGCCGGCCACGGTGACGGTTTGGGCCGCCATAACAGCCGATGGTCTCCCTCCGCCAGTATTAATCGACCGTGGCATCAGAATAAATGCCGAATATTATAGCGAAAATATTCTGGAGGATGTATTAAAGCCTTGGGCACGCAAACAGTTTAGCCGCAGACCTTGGACATTCCAACAGGACTCAGCACAAGAGAATGGTTACAAAATGTGGTTTCTCACTTCATTTCCAGCGCAAAATGGCCACCAAAATCTCCGGATACCAATCAGTTGGACTATTGTGTCTGGAGTATTTTGAAAAGCAAGGTTGGCACTAAAAAATACCAAAGTGTCCATCACCTCAAGCAAATGCTTCGTCGGGAATGGACCAAAATGCCTCAGAACCACATTCGGGCAGCGTGTGACGGTGTTTCATTGGCCGTTTGAAGGCCATAATTCGTGCCATAGGTGACCAATTCGAACCAATCTAAACTTGTTCTAAAATTTGATTCTATTTCCGACATTTTTACATTCATTTAATAAAATTCAAAAAATGTAAAAAATATGACGTTTGACTTTGTTGCAGTTTTTTATCACACCCTGTATATCATTTGATACGGCTAAAACGTGCCTCATCGCAAAAAACGGTTTTGACCCCAGGTTTCTTTGGACCAAATACGTTTCAGGACATTTAGAGTCGATCTAGGGGTGTCCGGCCGCCCGTCTGTCTATTTGGCTGACTGGTGCTCACAATTACTCTCGAAGTGAGTACCCGAATTGATTTAAATTTGGTACATCGCAATATTTTGTCAAACTCAGATCGACTTCGGAGATGGGCAATATCGGTCCACTTCTACTGGTACCTCCGCTACAAAAAGTCAATTATTTCACAGAAAATAATTTACCGCATAAATCAAGAAAATATCATCCAGTTTTTCCCAAACTCAGCAAATCTCAATATTTTTATCAGTTCTAGGTCAGTTCCGAAAATAGAAAATATCGACCCACTCTATCAGGTACGTCTCCCACAAAGGGTCAAAATTATGAATAACTCTGAATTTTATGAAATGCGAAATAAACATCCTATTCTCTTCAAATTTCACACATCCCAATATTTTTATAAACACAAGATCAGATGTGAAGATGGAATATATCGAACCACTCTTTGCGGTACCTTCCCCACAACGGGACAAAATTTTGAATATCCATGAAGCTCATAAAAAGCGAAATTAGCATCCAATCTCTTTCGAATTCGTCACATCTCAATATTTCTACTAAAACAAGATCAGATGTGAAGATAGAATATATCGAATATGCCCCTCAAAGAAGGCGAAATAAATAATATATCACTTCAAATTTTACACATCCCAATATTTATACCCTACAACACTATGTGGGGGTATTACAACTTTGATTGGTCCAAAAATTATGTAACGCCTCGAAATATTGGTTTCCCACATAGGAAAGTATATATGGATTATCCTAGCTCGCCGAGCTGAGTCGATTTTGTCGATGTTAAATTGTAATCACTCTATAGGTCTCAATTATGGCCCTATCTTCACGAAATTTAGAATGGAGGTTGGATTAGGGCCAGAATAGAAGCCTATTGCTTTTGGAGATGATCGCATAATATTTAGGGGTTGAAATGGACCAAAATCTGAAAAAGTTCATGATTTTGCAGTTGCTCTACAGGTCCCAGTTATTGACGCGGAAGTTAGCATGGGGCTAAAGCTTGGAGCTGGGTAGAAGCCTTTCAATTTTGACGGTCATTAGGTAATATTTAGTGGGTGAACTAGACAATAACATTTGTGTTAAATAAAAGTCAAATTTTCCATCAAACCGCGAATATTTTTAATCCAGGCCAAATCACAAATCGACGAACAAGACAATTCTGACCGTTAGGTAGACGCCAATAGTAAATATATAGGATATATATAGCGAAATATATACAGTGTGTATATACAAAGGAAGGGGATGTTAGCTAGAATGCTTATATCTCAAGAATGGCTGGACCGATTTTGACAAATTGTGTCAATTTAGAATGCCCTCTTGGCATAAATTATAAAACCTAAAAAATTGCATAAAAATATGCCAATAATGATATTAATATAGATTTTGTAGTAATTTGTGACATATTATTTATTTATTTTTTTTTATATTTTTTATCGCATGCAATTTTTTTAATTTGACTTATAATATTGAAGTATATATTTTGTAATATGTTTTTCACCTTACGACACAGGTTGGAGTTATTATATACAGATTGAAATTATCGTCCGATCCTCACGAAAATTTTCACAAGGGTAAGTTAGGCTCAGAAGAGCTAGGCCTATTTTTTTTCAACGATAAATTTAGAGATACAGAGGGGCCTCTTGCTTTTGGAAATGATCGCAAAATAATTAGGGGTTCAAATGACTTGAAATTGAAACCAATCGACACGGAATTTCGCATGAGAAGAGAGTTAAGGACAGGGAAGAAGTCTAGCATTTTGGATGACCATTGGACAAATTGGGCAAATGTCCCCGTTCAAATTGCTAAGGGTAATATCTGGGTATAATATCCGTGAAATAATTTCAAAAGCGAAATCTTCCAAAATGGATTTGGACAGAAGAAGGCTTCTAACATGTTGTAGGGTATCACATGGTCGTCCCCGCACGGCTATAGCCTTTGCTTACTTGTTTTTCAATATTTCGAACAACTTCTTCTGATACCTCCCCCATAAAGGGTAAAAAATGTGAATATCCATGAAGCTCAGGAAATGAGCATCCGGAAAATGAGCAAAGGATCAAAGTATTGAATATCCATGAAGCTCAAGAAATGAGCACCTGATTACTTTCATATTTGGTTTATCTCAATATCATTTGTAAATATGGTAGAGATCGGACCATTTCTTTTGGTACCTCCTCCACAAGGGTCAAAGTTTTGAACAGCCTAAACGATCATAAAAAATCTGAAAGAAACATCCGGTTCCCCTTATATTTCACACATCCCATTGTTTTTAATAACAGGATATCTACTGTGAATATGGGATATGGGATCGGTCCACTCCTTCAGGTACCTCCCCCACAAAGGGTTAAAATTTTGAATATTCTTGAACCTCATAAAACGCGAAATTACTATCCCATTCTATTCAGACTTGGTACATCTCAATATTTCCATCAATACAAGATCTGTTATAAAGATAGTAGCGATCGAATTATTTCTTCTGGTATCTCCCCCCACAAATAGTCAACATTTTGAATAACCAAAACGATTATAAAATCCGAAATAAGCATGCGGTTCTATTAATATTTCACACATCCCATTATTTTTACAAACATAAGATCTGCTGTGAAGATGGAATATATCGGCCAACTGCTTCTGTTACATCCTCCACAGTGGGTCAACATTTTTAATATCCATGAAGCTCATTAAACGCTAAATTAATGTCCGCTTTTGTTCAGACTGTGCAATATTTCTATCAACACAAGATCTTTTCTTTATAAAGATGGCAGAGATTGGACCTTTTCGTCTGGTACCTACCCCCATGGGGTTTAAAAATTAAAAAAAAAAAAAAGAAAACGTAATAACGATTCAAATTTCACACATACAAACATATTTGAGTTAGCAAAGATCTGTTGTGAAGATGGGATATATCGGCCCACTCCATTAGGTACCTCCCCCACAAAGGGTCAAAATTCTGAATATCCATGAAGCTCATAAAATGCGAAATTAGCATCCGGTTTCATTCAGACTTGGTACAACTCAATATTTCAATCAACCCAAGAACTGTTACATAGATGGTAGAGATCGAACCATACCAAACATTTTTGCTAACACAACATCAGTTGTGAAGATGATATATATCTGCGAAGCCATTCTGTTACCTCACCCGCAAAAGGTCCCAATTTCCATTACTGTTATCTGTTATAACTTGCAAAACAAGTCAGCGAATCTTTACAATTTGCTTTATCTAAATATTTCTCTCAACCAGAAACCTGAGATGAATATTGAATTTATGAATTCGCACAAATCTGGATATAAATGTTTTGATTGATTTTTGATTTTGATTTTCTTGTCATTTTACCCATACCAATATTTTTATCTGTACTAGATGAAGTGTGAACATGGAATGCTTCGGCCGACTATATATGGCACCTCTTGCACATTTTAACATTTTTTTGAAAATTATCACATATCTCATATAAAGTGAAGGAAGTAGTCGGTATAGTCCAAATTTGGCACGTCGCAAAATTGATTTCGTATTTATTTAGGTCCGATACGAAATGGACAATATTGGCTCATTCCTTTGGAACCTACTCAATAGACGGTCAACAATTTGAATAATTATAACAGAAGTCAAAATATATTTAAGCATATGAACATTGGCTGAGGGTATACATCTGACGGCGAAACACGCTGATGTTTTCATAATTGGTCCTTTCGTCATTTATCCCCATTTTTTTAAATTTAATTTTTTTTTTTTTCAAATCTCATCATCACAAATTTCACTTCTTTCGCACTTACCTCCATCCCTGAAATCATTTCGGGTAGATGATGTGGGTGGTTGTTTCGCCTGTTGAACTTGCCATTGTGGCTGGCTTTGTTGCACTTGACCGCCAAGCAAGTGTTGTTGTTCTTCATTCGACTCCGACTCCAACTCCTCGAGACCGGGTCTTATGCCAACTGCTGGTTTCTCCTTCATCCTTTGTGGTTGCTTGCTTGCAGTGCAAGCACTGTGTTATTCTTAATTTGTTAGAGTGTAATTTGATTTGGTAGTTGAGTTTTTGAGTGCGGTAGCCTGATGGTGTCGACAACGTTCGTCGTTCGTCGCTCTTCAACGCGTCGGTGGCAGGCAGGTCGTTCTTCTCTTGAATGTTTCTGAACTCCTTGAATGTTTCGGTCGGCCTTTTGCCACGTTAATCCTTTTTCATTTCCTCTAATGCCAGCGGTGTCAGTGGAAAAAGATTTCCTATTGAGGTCGTCCGTTATACTACGGGTATCCTGCAAAGGAGAGGAGGGCGATGAAAATAAATATTAGCTCAAATGTTGTGATCACGGCGTAACAAAAGAAACGGTGATCTTTTCACTTGATGGAAGGTGCTTTTATGTTTGGCAGTGAATGTAATGAAACCTGTTGGAGTTGTATCGGATGCAGAGTTGGAATCAATTGGAAGAATGCGAACAAATGGTTCGAATAGAAGTGTAGAAAGCTGTATATTAGAGTTAATTTAAGTTAGTTTCATTTACAACAAATTTCTACATATGTATTTTTTTTAATTTTATTGTACCCTCAGCCATATGGCTAGATAGGGTGTATATCACTTGATTATACACTCAGCCATATGTAGGGTATATATTATTTGATCTGAAACGTGCCTAATCAATATAACGGTTTTAGACCCTAGGTCTCTTTGGACCAAATCCCTTTCAGAACCGTCCGTCTGTCTGTCTGTTAAGATGGAATATATCGTTCCACTCCTTCTGGTACCTCCCCCACAAAAGGTCGAGATTTTCAAAAAATAGTTTTTGCATAGAAAGAGAGCCGATAATCCGATTTTGCTCCAACTTTGCAAATCCTAATATTTGCGTCGGGTCGGGTCGGGTGTAAAAATAGACAATATCGGTTCACTCCATCAAGTACCTCCCCCATAAAGGGTCAACATTTTGGATAATTACAACTCTCATAAAATGAGATGTAAGAGTCCGATTGTCTTCAAATTTCACACATTCCAATATTTTTATCAACCCAAGGTCTGGTGTTAAGATAAAATATACCGGCACCCTTCTTCTGGTACCTCCCCCAGAAAAGGTCGAAGTTTTCAAAAAAAAAAAAAAAAAAAAAAAAATATATATATATATATATATATATATATATATATATATATATATATATATCTTCTGCACAGAAAGAGAAAATTTGCTCCAACTTTGCAAATCCTAATATTTGCGTCGGTGCTACGTCAGGTGCAAAAATGGACAATATCGGCCCACTCCATCAGATACCTCCCCCACAAAGGATCAAAATGTAGAATAATTACAACTCTTATAAAATGTGATGTAAGAGTCCGATTGTCTTCAAATTTCACACATCGCAATATTTTTATCAACCGAAGGGCTGATGTTAAGATGGAATATATCGGTCTACTACTTCTGGTACCTCCCCCACAAATGGTGGAAATTTCGAATATCCATTAAGCTCATACAACACGAAATAAAGATCCAATTCCATTTAGACTTGGCATATCTGAATATTTCCATCAACACAGGATATGACATAAAAACGGTAGAGATCAGACTATTATTAATAACATCAAGTTCACTTGATATTTTACACATCCCATTATTTCTATAAACACAAGAGCTGTTGTAAAGATGTGATACATTGGTCCACTCCTTCTGATACCTCCCTCACAAAGGTTCAAAATTTTGAATATTCATGAAGCGAAATTAACATCCGATTCCATTCCCGACTTGGTGCATCTCAATATTTCCATCAACGCAAGATCTGTTATAAAGATGGTAGAGATAGGACGATTTCTTTTGGTATCTCCCTGACATAGGGTTCAAGATTTTGAAAAAGAAAACGCTCAACGAAAGCGAAATAAGCATCCAACTCACTTCAAATTTCAGACATACAAAGGTCTATGGTGAAGATGATATATATCTGCGAAACTCTTGAGATACCTCACCACTAAGGGTCACAATTTTTTATACCCTACACCACAAGGTGGTCAGGGTATTATGTCTTTGTGGATTTGTTTGTAACAGGCAAAAGGAATCGAGATAGACCCATAGTTCCTTTCGATGATCTGCATAGAATCACATTCTGAGTCGATTTATGCATGCCCGTCCGTCCGTCTGCCCATTTATTTTTGTAAACAAAAAACAGTTCGCATTCACACAAATCATTTGTTTGACCCAAAGACGAACCCTATGGAAATTGGAGATAATCGGTCAAAATCTAGATATAGCTCCCATATATATCTTCGTCCGATTTGCCTTTTATTGTGCACCAAATCAGTCCGAATCAGATTGGACCTGAAAATAAGTACTCCAAATTTGATCGAAATCGGTTCAGATATAGCAATAGCTCCCATATATATTGTTCATCCGATTTGTTCACTCGATAACAACAGCATTTGGGGAAATATATCACATACAGCTCAGAAATATCATTGCTAAATTTTACCGAGATCGGTTCAGATTAGGATATAGCTCCCATATATAACTTCATCCGATTTACCTTTGATTGTGCACCAAACGTCTAATATTTGCCCAAATGGGATGAAATTTGGCACTTACGACCGAATTGAGTCTAGAAGGTAGTATGTCAAATTTGGTGAAGATCGGTTCAGATATAGCTATAGCTCCCATATATACAGTTCATTCGAATTGTTATATTTGTTACCCACAACCGTAATATGCACTCCGTAACAACGATATTCAGGGAAAATGTATGAAATACACCTCAATAATATGTTTGCCAAATTTTATCAATATCGGTTCTGATTTGGATATGGCTCTCATATATATCAAATGGGCAATACAAGTCCGAATTTAAAAGATACAAATGCTTCGGCATATTTAGCCTTTTGAACTTTAAAATATAATTATAATCATAGGGTATATGATTGAATTCTCCCATAATTGTTTGTGGAGCTCTACTAAATTAACAAAGTTGTGTAGGGTATCATAAAGTCGGTCCCGCCCGACTTTAAGACCTTTTTTATTGGTTTTAACTTGTTTTCATGTAATTTCCAAATAATTATAACCTTCATAAGCGTTCCCCACTTCCGCTACCGACAGTTGACACAATCGAGGTTCCCCTGTATATGCATAGCCATGAGTGGAAAATTTGAAATCCATAGATAATGCTACCCGGACTTTCTTCAAAAAAAAGCAATAATTGTCTCGTAGAATAACAAGTGATCGTCCCTTCGAATTTCACCACATATTTAAATCACTGATGACCACTCGCCATGAATTTGTCATTGACATCAAATACCGTTATGTAATCTTGATAATCAATCAAAAAGTATTTCAATCAGAACGCAAAGGTGTCTACGATTATCTGTGACGTTTGCAGCAGAGGGTACTTGTCGTCAAACACAAATCAGAAACAACAGAAACAAATATCTTTGTGCCTATTTCAATGGGAACGAAGACCAAAACAAAATCGAAAAAAACAAAATGAAAAAAAAAAAATACTTGGACGCGTGTTTGTTGTTTGTGTTTTCTTCACTGTCCAGGCCGGCAAGATTGGTAGAGACAGAGTTGCCGTTTCTATGTTTTTATCAGTTTTCGGGTGAAAATGCAGACCTACATTAAGTAGTTTCACAAATTTTAATTTTTATATAGTTGACGTATAGAAATTAACATATGTAAGTAATTATATGTCTGTATTTGACATAAATCATTCACAAAGACTCTAATTGCCATCATCTCATTTTTGGACGATGCGCGATTGGTTTGTTAACGATTTACGGTTAAGGGCTTAACTCTGGTTTAGTAAAAACTCTCGTATTTTTCGGAATTTTTTTCCAATGGTAGGTTTTGTCAATTTCGCATCGGATGTGATATAAATATTGCGACGTGCTAGGTTTGGACTATATTGGTTACTACCTTCAGTTTATAAGAGATATGTGATAATACAAGAAGTCGACCGAAATATTCCATTTTCAGACTTCATCTAATACAGATAAAAATAATGGTATAGACAAAATTACAAGAAAATCGAACATTTATATCCAATTTTATGCGAAATCAATCCACTTTCATCTCAAGTTTCTGGTTGAGGGAAACATTTAGATATAGTAAGTTGTAAAGAATAGCTGACTTGTATCTCAAGTTATGGCAAATACAAATATTGAAAATTACGACACTTTGTGTGTGAGGTACCAGAAGGAATATGTAGATACATATGAACTTTTCAAGAGATCTTGTGTTAGCAAAAATATTTGTATGCGTGAAATTTGAAGAGAGTTGGATGCTTATTTCGCTTTCTTTGAGCGTTTTGTTTTTCAAAATCTTGAACCCTATGTGGGGGAGGTACCAGAAGAAAAGGTCCGATTTCTACTATCTTTATAACAGATCTTGTGTTAATGGGAATATTGAGATGTACCATGCCTGGAAATGGAATCGGATGTTAATTTCGCGATTTATTACCCCTTGTGGGGGAGATATCAGAAGGAATGGTCCGATCTCTACAATATTTATGACAGATCTTGTGTTGATAGAAATATTTAGCTGTACCAAGTCTGAATGGAATCGGATGTCAATTTCGCGCGTTATGAGTTTCATGGATATTCAACATTTGTGGGGGAGGTTCCAGAAGGAATGGAATGATGTATGCAATCTTCACTCCAGAACTTGGGTTAATAAGGATATTGTGATGTGTGTAGTTTGACGACAATCGGAATCTTACAACACATATTATAAGGGTTTTAATTATTCAAAATATTGACCCTTTGTGGGCAGGTACTTGATGGAGTGGACCGATATTCTCGATTTTAGCAACTGACCTATCACTGATGCAAATACTAGGATTTGCAATGTTGGAGCAAAATGTGAATATTTTCTCTTCTTGTGCAGTATTTTTTTTTTTTTTTTTTTTTTTTTTTTTTTTGCCCATCTCCGAACTTAATCCAAGTTTGATAATAATATTACGATGTACCAAGTTTGGTATCGGATACTCCTTTCAAGAGTTATCGTAAGCACCAGCCAACCAAACAGACAACGGACGGATATCGCTAGATCGTCTCCAAATGTCCTGGAAGGGATTTGGTCCAAGAGGACCTTGGGTCTAATACCGTTATTTCGAAGAGGCACGTTTTGGCCGTATCAAACGATATATTCCCTCTCGAACCATATGGCTGAGGTATTACAATATATTTCACGTAGCCGGTGTTGGACATAACCAGAGGAGAAAATCTTAAGCCCCAGCCGAAGGCCTGCTGACCGAAACAGCATCAAAATTAGGGTTTAAATACCCATATCTCTGAATCTAAGAACAATAATAGCACCAATTTTAGCATTTTGGAAAGGCTGAAACGAAAGCTATAAATTGGCATACAATTTGTGGACTTCCAAAATGGTGCCTTGTTGGACATTTTGGGGAATTTTTTAAAAAATCCGGGTCGAAAAAATCGACAGTTTTTTTTCTCTATTTTTCTATATCGGTTTATTAGGTCCATGGCCTACCCGGGTCTTGCACCTGGAGTTTCGGGTCAAATATCCAGGTATACGGGTCCGTCCTCTAAGAAAAAATCCCGATTAGTACCCTCATCAATACCTAACTGCGGACAAAAGAGTGATCTGTGCAAAATTTCAGCTTCCTATCTTAATTCGTTTGAGCGTTATTGCAACCGAAAGACGAACCAGGCTAAATCATCTTCGAATTTTACGCTAAACTACGTTTGGTCTAAAATTATTATTTCGATGAGTTACAAACGGAATGAAGAACTTAATATACCCTCCACACTATGTACGATGGAGGGTATACAAATCCCAGAATTTTTATTAAGTTGTTGTTTCCAGTTTAGCTTTGTTTGCTTATTTTTCGGAAGCTTCGTGAAGGTTTCAAATCTAATTTTGGCTAAGTTTTATAACCTCTACCATACAGGGTATATTAAGCTCGTCATTCCGTTTGTAACTCTTCGAAATAATAATTTTAGACATAACAAGGTATATATATTCATGATAAGCATAAAATTCTAAGACGATTTAGCCCTGTCTGTCTGTTGTAATCAGGCTAGAGTCAAAGATAAGAAACTAAAATTTTGCACAGGCAAAATTGTTTTACAGGCATGTCCAGTTCGAAGATATTCGTGTAGCCCCCATATAACAGTACCCCCCGATATTCGGTATTTTTATGATTTTAGCTACACTTCACCCCCGGAAGAGAAATGTCTATATAGATCCACGAAATGCTGTAGCCCACATGCCACGGTACCCCCCGATATTCGGCATTTTGACGACTTTAGCAACAATATTTACCGAAATTCTTTGAAATTTCGTATTTGAAGTTCCAAATAGGTACAACACCCTGTGACAAAAAATTGTCTATGCCGGTCTTCGTATATCCCCGATATAACGGTATAATATATTCGGTATTTAGATGATTTTAGCTACATTATTTCCCAGATTTTTTTTTAAGTTTTGTATTTGAATAGTGTTGTGGCTTATGACAAAAGTTGCCTGTGCAGGTCCACGTCTTCGTATAGGCCCAAATAAAGGGTGATAAAAAGTAACACAAAAAATTTAATTTTGATGCAACTTTTTTTATTTGGTTCAGTATACTCTGACAAATCAAATCATGAATAGACTTACGCTTGAACAACGCTACGAAATTATCCAAATTTACTTTGAAAATCAGGCTCTGGAGCAATTGGCAAATGGCCCGTTGTTTTATCGCAAAATTGTGTTCAGCGATGAGGCGCATTTTTGGCTTAACGGGTTTGTCAATAAGCAAAATTGTCGCATATGCAGTGAGACCAATCCACAAGAGACCCTACAGACTCCATTACATCCAGAAAAATGCACCGTATGGTGCGGTTTTCGCGCTGGTGGCATCATCGGGCCTTATTTCTTCAAAAATGAGGCCGGAGCTCGCGTTACGGTCAATGGAGATCGTTACCGCACCATGGGCAATGATTTTTTGCTTAAAAATATGGATGACATTGATCCGGAGGAGATGTTGTTTCAACAGGATGGCCATACGGCGAACTCAACCATCGACTTATTGAAATCAAAATTTGACAATAAGTTGATTTCGAGAAGTGGACCTGTCAATTGGCCTCCAAGGTCAAGGTGCGATTTGACACCTCTCGATTATTTCCTGTGGGGCTACGTGAAGCCACTGGTTTATGCTGATAAACCAGCAACAATTGACGCCTTGGAGGCCAGCATTGTTCGTGTTATTCGTGGCATACGACCAGCAGTGCTCGAAAAAGTGACCAAAAATTGGACGTCCAGAATGCACTTCGTTAAGAACACCGCGGCTGTGCCCATATGCCCGAAATCATTATCAAATGTTAATGTCACGTATTGATATTTCGAATAAAAAAAATGATTACAATTTAATTTTTTGTCTTATTTTTTACAATTTCAAGTTCTATCGCGCTTAAAAAACAACCTTTATAACGGCTATATTCGATATTTTTAAAATTTTAACAGGATTTTTAAGGGATTTTATTTATTTATTTATTATTATTAATATTTTTTTTTTTTTTTGAAAATTTCCAAAATTCATTCCAAATGGTCGAGGGTATTCAAAGTTCGGCCGAACTTACTGCCTTTTTACTTGATTTAAATAGAAATCAACTTGTTCTGATTCTTTTCGTGTAACAATAGTATGCTAATTAAACGCTGACACAGAATGTATACCTATTTTTTGAAAATTTCCATTAATCCAAATTGTTTTAATTGATTTCCGGTTGGACCACTTTGGAATATTTGGTAGTTTTTTTTTTTCAAAAATAAAATATGGAGTGGCAACACTAAAGCGTAAGCAATGATGAAAGCAAAACAATGACGTCGTCATCGTTGTCAATACCAAAAAAAACAAGTTAAAAAGTATCAGTCGGTATTGCCGACAGATATATACCCTCAGCCTATGTTCGATTAAATAATCGAAATATATTTGACTAGTGTTACAATTATTCAAACGTTTGACCCTCTATGGAGCCGGTTTCAAAGGAATGGGCCAATATTGTCCATTTCGTATCAGACTCAAAAATATGAAGAAAAGTTATTTATGTCAAATTTTATGCGAAATCATAAATTCCGATAAATTTCATATTCATATCAGGCTTCTTATTGAGAGAAATATTTGAACATAGCAAACAGTAAAGGATTGCTAAATTGTTTCGAAAGTTATGACAGATACAATTATTGAAAATTGTGACCCTTCGTATAAACTTCACAACAGATATTGTGTTTGCAAAAATATTTGTGTGTGTGAAATTTGAAAAGAGTTGGATGCTTATTTAGCTTTATTTGTGCGATTTGTTTTTCAAAATCTTGAACCCTATGTATAGGGGAGGTACCAGAAGAAATGGTTCAATCTATACCACCTTTATAACAGATCTTGTGTTGATAGAAATATTGAGATGTGCCAAGTCTAAATGGAATCGGATCTTAATTTGGCTTTTTATGAGCTTCATGGGTATTCAAAATTTCGACACTTTGTGGGGGAGGTACCAGAAGGAGTGGACCGATACATTCCATGTTAACACCAGATCTTGGGTTTATAAAAATATTGGAATTTGTGAAATTTGAAGACGTTCGGACTCTTACATCACATTTTATAAAAGTTGTAATTATTCAAAATTTTGACCCTTTGTGGGGGAGGTCCCTGATGGAGTCGACCGATATTGTCCATTTTCGCACCTGACCTAGCACTGACGCAAATATTAGGATTTGCAAAGTTAGAGCAAAACCGGTTAATCGCTTCTCTTTGTGTGCAAAAAATATTTTTTGAAATTTCGACCTTTTGTGGGGGAGGTACCGGAAGGAGTGGACCGATACATTCCATTTGCGCACCAAACCTTGTGCTAATAAAATTATTGCGATGTGTGAAATTTGAAGACTATCGGGCTCTTACATCACATTTTATTAGGGTAGTAATTATTCAAAATTTTGACCCTTTGTGGGGGAGGTCCCTGATGGAGTGAACCGATATTGCCCATTTTCGCACCTGAACTAGAACTGATGAAAATATTAGGATTCGCAAAGTTCGAGGAAAATCGGATTATCCTTTCTCTTTCTGTGCAATAAATTATTTTCTTTGAAAATTTGGACATTTTGTGTGGGAGGTACCAGAAGGAGTGGACCGATATAGCCCATCTCCGAACTCGATCTAAGTTTGACAAAAATATTGCGATGTACCAAGTTTGGGCCAAATCGGATACTCCCTTCGAGAGTTATCGTGCGCACCAGCCAGCCAGACAGACAGACAGACAGACGGACGGACGGACGGACATCGCTAGATCGACTCCAAATGTTCTGAAACGGATTTGGTCCAAAGAGACCTAGGGTCTAAAACCGTTATTTCGACTAGGCACGTTTTGGCCGTATCAAATGATATATACCCTCTGTAGCCATATGGCTGAGGGTATAAAAAATGTATCTACCACGTTGCTGTTGTTGTTGTTGTTGTCGTTGTTTGTGTTTTCTTACCTCAGTTAACAGCTGTTTGTCTCGGTAGCTAACAGCAAATCAAACAAATCATCTGTCTTCTTTACACAATAAATACACGAGCAAATAAACAATAACACTTTTTATTCACACTATAAACGTTTCTTTTTTTGTTCGCCAAAACCGCCTTTAATTTGTTTATTTATTTAATTTACAACCACTTTCAAGATATTGTCACCGAGAACGGTCATAAAACACTTTCCGAGATGCAAGAATAAAACAACTGAAACACTCATCAAATAAATAAATAAATGGAAAATGGAATTCAATTATTTAGCGTTCAACTCTGACGGCGCATTTCACTGATTTCGTTTGTCCGCTTTTTAATCGAACCGACCGATCACCGCTGCCGCGTGTTTTTTTGCCGCTTCGTTTTAATTGGAAACTAATTGTCAAGCGGACTGAATGAACGGAGAAGCACAACTATTCTTCGCATTAAAAGTTTGTGTGATTTTTGGTGGCCGTATGCTTTTTGCTACTTTATCGTCTCTTTTGTTTTCTTCGCTACTTTTGTTTTTATGAAATGAGCACAAACAATGTGGACTTTGTTATGAGATGGGGATTCCGTTAATGTTTTTTTTTTTTTTTTAGAAAACATTCACTCATTCCATTCATGAATTTTCACTCAATTGTTATTAATGAAATAACAATCTAGTTGTGTAGGGCTGAAAATGTGGCATATTTTGGAGCTGTGTGTGGTATTATCGTTGTATTCGTGGTTGGCAACTCAGAACAAAAGTGTGATATCATTTTATGTTTAGTATTGTAGGATACTTTAGGGGGTGTAAAGAGAATTCAAATTTGGTAGTGTTGCCACTGTACAACATAAGCGAGAAGATGTGTACTGATTCGATTAAAATTAGACTCAAATTTTCTGATTGGACACAGTCATGGTAGAAGACTATATAGTCACACAATGACAATGAACTGGTAAACCAAATTTGAAATTGAAAATGTTGAATGAAAAATTATTTAAATTTGTAAAAAATATTGAAAAACGTGTATTTTTAATATCCTCCGAATGACGGTGTATTGGAAAACATATAAAAATCTACTTATATTTGAAAAGAAATTACAAATTTTTTGACATATCAATGTTCCTAAGCCTTGATGCATCTACCTGTATTCTTCTACCGTGGATGTAGGCATGGCTCAATTAACAAATAAAAAAACATTAAGTTCGGCCGGGCCGAACTTTTAATACCCTCCACCTTAGGTTAATGGAAACATTAGAACCAATTATGACCCAAATTTTAGACACATTCGTGGGAAAATGTGGCAAAAATCATCAAAATACCGAATATCGGGGGGTACCGCTATATAGGGCTATACAAAAACGAGGACCTATACATACAATGTTTCGCAAACGGAGCTAGAACTCATTATGATTAACAAATGCCAATTGTTTAAATAATTCCGTGAAAAAATGTGGCAAAAGTCATCAAAATACCGAATCTCGGGAGGTACCGTTATATGGGGATTATACCAAAACGTGGACCGATATATCTCATTTTCAATACCAACCATCATAGACACAATACAAATTATTCTGCTAAATTTTTACGCTCTACGTCACATAATGTGGCCTGTATCGTGATTTCAACAGGCAGACGGACAGACAGACGGATATGGCAGAGAATTTTATGCTGATTATAAATATATATATACATTCTGGGTTCTACGACGAATATTTATGTTACAAACGGAATGACAAAGTAAATATACCCTCCTTTCCAAGGTGGAGGGTATTAAAAGGTTGATGAACATCAAAGAAAGTAGGAAAATGCAAACCTGTAGTGGAGTCTTATTGTGTCAAATGGACTTATTATACCCTTCACCTTACATAATACGGAGGGTATATTAAGTTCGTCATTCCGTTTATAACTCATCGACATAATAATTTTAGACCTAAAAAAGTATATATATTCTTGATCAGCGTAAAACTTTTAGATGATTTAGCCCTCTCCGTCCGTCCACCTGTTGTTATCACACTAGAGTCAAAACAAATTAAAATAGAAAGCTAAAATTTTAAACAGATTTGTCTGTTGTCTGCAGGCATGTAAAGTTCGAGGATGGGCTATATCGGTCCACGACATTGTATAGCCCGCATATGACGGTACCTCCGATATTCGGTATTTTAATGATTTTAGCCACATTTTTCAATAAAATTGTCTGATATTCTACACAAGTAGTTCATTGCGAGCACTTTATCCCCTGAAAGAGAATTGTCCATATAGGTCCACGATGTCGTATAGCCCCCATATAAGGGTACCCCCGATATTCGGTATTTTGACTATTTTAGCCACACTTTTTAATGGGATTGCCTGAAATTCTACAAAATGAAAGACAATTATCTATATAGGTTCATAATAACGTTCAAATTACGTACTTAGAGCTCGTAATGGGAACTACAGTCTGTGACAGAAAATTGTCTATTTAGGTCCACGTCTCTGTATAGCCCCTGCAGCCAAAATGTTTGCGTGCCCAAGGCTAAAATGCACCCTCCAGAATATTCGGCATTTATTCTGATGCCACGGTCGATTAATACGATTAATAGCGGACAGCGACCATCGGCTATTATGGCGGCCCACACCATCACCCTGGCCGGCGCTTGAGTTCTGGTGGCCAACCGAAGGTGCACATTTTCAGCTGACCTCTTTGGCAAGTAAACACGATCATTTTGTTCCTTTACAAGCTGCTGGGCAACGAATGTTTTCTTATCGGAGAAAACCAAATGCTGCAGTTCACTACTTTCGGCCAAGCGAAGCAAATCTTTAGCTCTTTTGAGTCTATTTTCTTTATGTTGCGGTGTAAATTCTTGCACTTTTTTGAATTTCAATGGCTTTACCCCGAGCTTATTTTTCAATATTTGCCGAATGGAATATTGCGATATGTTTAGCTCACGAGCCATTTTTCGGCCACTGCGACGCGGGTTTCGATGAAGTCGCTTCTTTACTTTTCGGACCATTTCAGCTAATGTTGTTGTTTTCTTCCGTTCATTTCCTTGACGTCAGGCTGATATCACGGTTACGAGCGATGGTACGAGACACAACAGATTTATTCACATTTAAGAGCTTTGGCTTCCAGCCAAATATAGAGAAATCACACTATCACGCTTGAATTCCATCAGGAATAACGTTTTTTCTGGAAAATTCTCACCAAAATGCTTTTGTACGCTTGTAAACAATTCAATGAGCTGTCACTGGAATAATTTAAACAGCTGTCGAACGAGTGGCTTAGAAATGGCAGCAGTCTGAAGTTGGTTTGCAATTTTTTCATCTCACTCTGTATTTTCATAAATTCAGATAAAGTGCGACTTTATCCCTAAAATGTTTTTTGTATAACCTCCACCTTGTCGTAGACCCCACAAAGTGGATTCTAAGTCAATTAAACGATGTCTGTCTGTCCTGTCTGTCTGTTGAAATCACGATGCAGCTCACATTATTTGAAGTTTTTCGGCACATTTTTTAACGGGTTTGTCTAAAATTTGGTATTTGTAAGTCATAATGGGTTCCAGCTCGGGTGGCAGAACTTTGAAAATTACGGTCCACGTTTTCCTATAGCGCACGTATGACGATACCCACCGATGTTCGGTATTTTGATAACCAGCTTTAAACCATACTTACAATTTTTAATTATACCCTACCCCACATAGTAGTAAGGGTAGTTTGTTATGTCTTTGGGCATTTGTTTGTAACATAGAAAAGGAAGCGAGATAGACCCATAGTTATTTTGGGGAATATTCATAGAATCACATTCTGAGTAGATTTATGCATATTAGTCCGCCCAAAAAATTAATAAAATGCAGGTCGCAATTAAAATCCGATTGAGATGAAATTTTGCAAACAATATTTTTTTGGCCCAAGGACGAACCCTATTGATATCTTCAACCGATTTCGAGTTAATTGTGCACCAAATGGCTAATATTAGCCCAAATGGACTGAATTTTGGCAATTACGACTGGATTCATCCTATAAACGTGTGCTTCAAATTTGGTGTAAATCGGTTGAGATATAGCTATAGTGCCCATATATATGTTATATCCGATTTGGGGTTTAAAGTCACTCACAAGCGTAATATACATTCCATAACAATGATCTTTGGTACAAGATATCAGATACAGATCTGAAATAAGTGTATCAAATTTTGTAAAGATCGGTTCAGATTCGGATATATATGGGAGCTGTATATATTCTCAACCGATTTCGGGTTAATTGTGCACCAATTAGCCAATATCATTCCAAATAACCTGAATTTTGGCATATCCGACAGAATTCAGTCTAGAAGCAGGTACATAGAATTCGGAGAAAATCGGTTTACACATAGCTATAGCTCCCATATATATGTTTCATACGACTTGGTGTTTAAGTCCCTCACAAGCGTAATATACATTCGACAACAATGATATTTTGTACCAGTTATCAGATACAGCCCAGAAAAACATTTGCCAAATTTTACCCAGATCGGTTTGGATTTGGATATAGCTCCCATATATATCCTTAATCCGATTTCAGGTTTATTGTGCAAATATTAGCTAAAATTATCCCAAATGACGTACGTCTCCATTTTGTTCAACTCGACTCCGATATATATTTCTCCAAGGATATCATGTACTTCATAGCTAACTATAACTGCTCTAAAGCCATATGTTGATAGGTAGTATAACCTAATTGAAATAAATTATTTTGTAACGGGAGCTCTACTAAATGTACATAGTGGTGTAGGGTATCATATAGTCGGCCCCGTCCGACTTTTGACTTTTCCTTACTGGTTTTATTTTTAACAAGTTAACTTTGAATACCCTCCACCATTTGGAAATTTTCAAAAAATAAAATCCTTAAAAAATTCTGTTTAAATTTTAAAAATACCCAATATAGCCGTTTTATTGGAGTCTATACGACTTGGACCTACATAGACATTATTTGTCATAAGCCATTACCATATTCAAATTCGAAAACTTGAAATAAACGGTGAATAATGTAGCTAAAATCATCAAAATATCGTATATAGGTATGTACCGTTACATCGGAGCTGTGCGAAGACTTGTACCAGCATAGACAACTTTCTGTCATAGGCTGCAGCATCCATTACGAAGTTCAAATACGACATCTCAAACAATGTCGGTGTGTATTGTACCTAAACTCGTCAAAATACCGAATATAGGCAGGTACTGACATATATGGGACCTGGACCTGCATAGACAATTTTCTGTCACAGACTGTAGATCCCATTACGAATTCTAAATACGTAATTTGAAACAATTCCTGTGAATAATGACGATAAAATCATCAAAATGCCGAATATTGGGAGGTCCGTTATATGAGGGCTATACGAAGACGTGGACATGCACAGACAGTTTTCTGTTATAGGCTGTAGTATCCATCACGAACTTCAAATACCAATTTTGAAATAATTTCGGGGAGTAATGTCGCTAAAATTAT